TTTTGTTTGGGGTTGGGTGTTTTTTGTGGGGGGAGGGAAGAGGGGCGGTTTTGGTTTTGAGATTACTGAGCTAATGTTTGTAAAAGCACTTGTAACCAGGGCAGACATGTGCTGAATGTTGGATAAACCATAGCTTCTCTTATGTCTTTTGAGACTCTAAGGATCACCATGCCTGGTTGCTCTGTTATGGACATCATCTGAGTGATCTGTCATGTCATGTCCGAATAACAAGAGAATTGTTGGAGTAGTAAATGGAGCTGAGGATACAGGCTCTGCATGCAAGCAGATTACTTGGCGTCAGATCCCAACTCCTACTTACTAACTAGCTGTGTGTTTTGGGGCAAGTTACTTGCCCTCTCTGTGCTTCTGTTTCTGTAAAGTGGGGATGATACAATGATTGCCTACCTCATAGAGTTGTTAAGGGGAGATGGAGTAAACAAATCAGTAGATATCAGTTGTTATTAATATTAGTATTATTAAAGATAGTGGAATAGAGCTCACAACTTGAAATGAAAATAGTCTCAACTTGACAGTTACCTCCCACTCCTTACTCTCCATTTCTTCATCTATAAAAGGAGGGGTGAGCCCTGGCCAGTGTGGCTCAGTTGTTGAGTGTCGTCCTGTGCACCAAAAGATTGCTGGTTCGATTCCTGTCAGGGTACATACCGAGGTTGTGGGTTTGATCCCTGGTGCAGGAGGCAGCTGATCTATGTTTCTCTCTCCCTTCCCCTCTCTCTAAAATAAATTAAAACTTTTTTAAAAGGGGGGCGGGGTGATGAGATGACAAGATGGGACCTCTGAGGTCTAATACTGAGGATTCTCAGGATCGGAGACATGCTTGCTTTTCATTTCTACAGCTGGGCTACTGGCGGGCAGCAGATAAAGCAGATGTCAGAAAAGGGTGGGTGGACATTGCCATAAGCGGTGCATTATGCGAACAGCTCTCCAGATAATCTGGTTCCCACCCGGGCGGAAGAGCCCAGTTCCTGCCAAGCTACCCAGACATCTTAGCTCAGAATTAAAGCCCTGGAATAGCAGTTTCAGAAACCAAACCCTGAAGCCGGGTTGACTCACAGGGAAATGACTTGGCAGAAAGCCATGACATGCAGCCTGCAGCTCCAGCTGGGCCTGTGCAGTGGTGTGTGGAAGGGGGAAGCCACCCGCTGTATCCAGGTGATCAAACGCTTTGGAAACAGTTAGGCAAAGTCATTTCAGAATTGCTTTAAATGTGTGTGTATCTGCGACCCTTTCCCCATTCTCATGTTTTGTTGATTTGGACTTTCTCCCTTTTTTCCTTAATCAGGTTAGATCGTGATTTATCTGCTAAGATGAGATAGTGTGACTGTGTGTGTGTGACTGTGTGTGTGGTTACTTGAGAGCGAGATTTTATTGAATAGTTAGCACTTTCAGATCATCTAGTCATTGGCTACTTGTGCTGTTTAAATTAGTTGACAGACGGGAGAGGGCTTTGTAAAGCAGAAAAAAACCCAGGTATACAGAGTGACCTCCTGGGGCTCTCTGCATCTCTTGTGCTCAGTAGTTCACGGTATCCTCTTGCACTCTCCAAAGCGACTATGGATGATAAATTCCGATCATGCTGATCACATGTCCTGACAATGATCTCATTGAGCCTCCTCGTTTCCTAGATGAGGAGACATCATGGGGTGCTGGGAAGAGAATGTGACTAGGACTCAGGACACCCGGATTCTGATTCCAGCTCTATTCCTGACCCATTGGGGGATGCAGGCGAGTCATATCACCTCTTGAAGGCCCAATCCCTGCGAATCATTCAGCACTTCCCAAGGTTGGCAGTACAGGTCGTGCTTCTCAAACAGAGGCACACGCTGGAGAACTTGTGAAACTGAGGTTCTGATCCAGTAGATCCAAGTGAGGCTAAGGTTCTGCATTTCCAACAGGCTCCCAGGCAATGCCCATGCTGACCTCAATATGAGTAGCAAAGGTCTAAAAGGACTTGTTGCCGAAACCAGTTTGGCTCAGTGGATAGAGCGTTGGCTTGTGGACTGAAAGGTCCCAGGTTCGATTCCGGTCAAGGGCATGTACCTGGGTTGCGGGCACATCCCCAGTAGGAGATGTGCAGGAGGCAGCTGATCGATGTTTCTCTCTCATCGATGTTTCTAACTCTCTATCCCTCTCCCTTCCTCTCTGTAAAAAATCAATAAAATATATTAAAAAAAATAAAAATTAAAAATAAAAGGACTTGTTCCACAGATTATAAATCTATATGACATTTAACCAAAAAAAAGTGGGAAGAGGGTTATAGTGCAATACATTCAGAAATCCATATGCCTAATACATGTAAAAGGGTTGCTATGCAGGGCTTCCCAAAACCTGACACACTTCCAAGGAGAATGACTTGAACAACTCAGAAAAGAAGATTTTCAGAAAGACAGAGGTCTTTTTTTTTTTTTTTTTTTTTAATATATTTTATTGATTTTTTTACAGAGAGGAAGGGAGAGAGATAGAGAGTTAGAAACATCAATGAGAGAGAAACATAGATCAGCTGCCTCCTGCACATCTCCCACTGGGGATATGCCCGCAACCCAGGTACATGCCCTTGACTGGAATCGAACCTGGGACCCTTCAGTCCGCAGGCCGACGCTCCATCCACTGAGCCAAACCAGTTTCGGCAAGACAGAGGTCTTTATTTCGCAAACCAATGGCAGCAGAGGCAAAAAGGCAGCTGGTTTGCTATGCCCAAGCTCAACCCCCCACCAGGACACAAAGACACGAAGTCCTTGATTGCTTGCCAGACTTAAACCTCTTTGCGAGGAAAATATTTTCACCCACAGCTCCTTCCACATCCCCGCCCCACCCCCTGGCTCATACTTTGGACCATGGGGCTTAACACCTGGCAAACTGGACCAGGGACACTGGAGGACCTGCCCCAGGCCACCACTCTATAGACAGGCCGATTGTGACATGGCCTGATATACAATGATGCCCTGGAGCAGCCAGACTGTCACTCTTGGAAACAGCCACTTGAGCTGGCTAGGAGAGGTGGCCAAATCTGGAGAAAAAAAATTAAAAAAAGCCCCACGGTGGAATCAGGCCCACGATGAAGCAAAGCCGGGGGTGAGCTCAAGTTATGAATGAGGGAGACAGACTCTGAGCAGGCAGTGAAGCCTGGGGTAGACACAAGAATGGAAGAGCAGCACAGAGCTAAGATGCCCCAAGAGCTCTTACGAATGGAACTGAAGGCTACTGGAGGCTCTTGTTAGGTCACAAGGAGCAAAAGGTATCATCTTTAGTTAGCTTTCCCCAGAGGGAATGGGCTACAGATTGGGGAATGATGGAGACAGCAAAGTGGTGTTCCAGCAAGACGCCTATGGACCAAAGGGGAAAAGTGAGCGTTGTCCCTCCCGCCCAGGGAGCCCAAAGCAAATCAGCAGCCCATTTGTAGCAACAGCGGAACTGCGTTGTCATCATATCTTCAATCTGTCCAGCCTCACCCTCCTCTCACCCTGGTCTTGATGCCATATTGAATGTGTTGTCCTGTCCTGATTTTTCATTTGCACTTCACTATTTTATATTATGCATTTCCTGTATGCCTCATTGACTCCATTCTGAACAGAGACATGGTATAAGTAAGTAGATCAGATGAGAACTAATTTAAGTGGAATCAAGTCTGGATGACCATATCCCCCAAAACCCTCCCTAACCAGTGTGGGTTAGACCATAGAGAGAGGTCTGTAGTTGCACATCACAAGATTCACCCTAAATTGCATCCTGTTAAAAATCATAATGATGCCCTAACCGGTTTGGCTCAGTGGATAGAGCGTCGGCCTGCGGACTGAAGGGTCCCAGGTTCAATTCCGGTCAAGGGCATGTACTTTGGTTGCGGGCACATCCCCAGGGGGGGGTGTGCAGGAGGCAGCTGATCGATGTTTCTCTCTCATCGATGTTTCAAACTCTGTATCCCTCTCCCTTCCTCTCTGTAAAAAAATCAATAAAATATATTTTAAAAATACAAAATAAATAAAAATCATAATGATTTGGCCCTAGCTGGTTTGGCTCAGGAGACAGGGTGTAGGCCTGCGGACTAAAGGGTCCCAGATTCGATTCCGGTCAAGGGCACATGCCAGGGTTGCGAGCTCGATCCCCAGTGTGGGGTGATCAATGATTCTTTCTCATCACTGATGTTTCTATCTCTCCATCTCCCTTCCTCTCTGAAATCAATAAAAAATATATATATTTTAAAAAATCATAATGATTTGGATGGCAACATTGATGACACGTGTTTATATGTTCAAACAAAGACACAAAATAAAAGAAGGGCCAATACGTTAGGAACAGCACTCGGTTCCAAAAGTTCTTGCCAGCGAGAGTCAGTGTGCTTTGATCAAGACCTGATCAACTGCCCACAGTGACTCAGCATCTCTGGGCTAAAGTGCAGTGCTAGGATTTCTAATTGTTATCAGAAGTCGCTGTGGGGATGAGTCATGCGAATCCTTTATGAACAAATTCTGATCCGAGCCAAAACTGTTGTCAGGATTTCCAGCCTATCTCTCTGCCGTCTACCGTAGGAGACGTTTCTTTCAAAGTTTAGTACCAAGGAAAACTCAGTTTTCTTTGAAACCACCCACAAAGTGTCCCTTTCCCCGATCAAGAGAGAGTTGTTTCCTGTTCCACCTCCACCAGCAGAACACTTCGAGTATATATGGCAGTAGGCTCCCTTGGAACAACTGAAATGAGTATTTGGTTTTTAATTTTCTTCTCCAACCTGTTTTCCTATTTGAGTTCGTATACCATGGGTTTTATAGTCTGGGCTTTTTTCTTTGAAGCCACAACAACTAATTTTTGGAATGACTCTGGATATAAATATGCTAAATAAATGATATGTGAATGGTGAGTGGGAGATGGCTTGATGAATTTGGACAAGATGGGGAAGAAAGGGAAAAAATGAGCCATCTCAACAGCCTTCAAGATAAACAACTCTATTTACCCAAATGATTTTTTGGAACTGCCTTGTTTTATTTTAGTCCAAGAAGCCTGCTGGAGAAAGAACAGTGCGGTGAAAATATATTCGAGTTTGATAAACATCTTGCTCTTCTGACAAGACAATTGATTAGAGCTCGTCTGTTCATCTAAATTGATCAGCTCAGCTCAGAAGTAAAAGGATGTGTCTCATTCCTGCAAGCCTAGACCGCCTCTCTTTCCCCCTGCACCTCCATAATTTCCAGGTGAGGTGGGTAAGTGAGGGAGGGAGGAAGGGGGGAGGAATGCGGACGGATGCCAGGCCTTCAAGGATGTCACATAGAATGATCTGACCTAAGAAAGACCTCCTAGTCACCCCAATAGGTCCCCCTGTAATAAGAAATATTTCCTCTCCATCCTAGGGAGCGGAGTTCTTACAATGAGTCCAGAGCAGACATTTCCCAGAAACACCTGCTAGAAATTATCAAAGGCAAACATGACGATACCGTCCCATCTTCTCTACCCCCCGAGACGCCACAATACGCCTCCTTTACGTGGAAGTCAGGTGGGTCTGCTTAATAATATTGATGTCTTTGCTTTTATAGGTCTCTTTTTTCCACTATAAATATACATGCTCACTACTGCAAATTTAGAAATAGAGGAAAAGCATTTGTAAAAATTTAATAATATCTAATCTGGGGACAGAAGTTTAAATAACCTGAAATGGAATGTCCGAGGGAAAGGAATGTACTGGAAGTGAGGAGGTTTGGATTCTGGTCCAACCCTGCTATAACTAGCTGGGGTGACCTCAAGTGAGTGATTTATTCTTGATGAATTTTTTTCTTCACTTGTAAAAGGAAAGGCAGGGCCCGGCACACCCAAGCTTATAGCATTCTAAGGTCACGGGACAGTTAAGCAGGCAGATGCGTTAACCTCGCTGCCCGGGGTCCCGTTCCCAGCACTGCCATTCAGGAGTTGTTGGAGCCTGTTTCATAGCCTGTCCATGTCCCAGTGTCCCCATCCATCAATGACGATGGTGGTCATCTCTCTCACATGCTGATGATTTGGTGAACGTTGGCCGCCATCCTTATCTTAAATGTGGCCCAGCCACATCGCACGCCACACCGACCTCTTTCCTGAGAGCCGCACGTCCAGTGTTGTCTGCGCATCACTGTGACCTCACGTGGCATTTGAGATCTCAGCTTTGTGGTCACAGTCCAAACCTGAGAGCATCCTGTCCAGGCTGCAGCTCTGCCTCCTCACTGTTCCCCAGCTCAGCAAAGAATACCAACACCCGCCCCCCTGCTCCTGCCACTCACCTGGGAGCCGACCAGATACCTGCCCCGTTCTAGCTCCTGCAGGCCCGTTCGACTCGCAAACTAAACTCAGGTCTCCAACTCAGCCTTTATCTGAACTGAAAGTGCTGTCTCCATGCTCAATCTATCCAACTCAGGCAGAGACCCCACACTCACTCAGGTCTTAAGGGAGCCCTGGGTGGCCTGGGGAGAGGAGTGGGTTTTAGAGCTGGGCCCCTCTGAGTTTAAGCACCCCAACCTGAATTCCCACTGGCAGGCATTCAAGACAGGTACCTCCACCCCCGGGGACACCCAGACCTTGCCTCCCTTGCCTGTGAGGGAGGAGGGCTGAGGGTGCTGCTCAAGGATGGGAGGGCGAAAGCACCTCATTCCACGTGGGGGACCCAGGCCTGCTGTACTGCCTCCACCTGTCCTCAAGCCTCTGCTCTGTCAGATCTCCTTGGGGCACCACAGGTGATGGAGAAGGAGACAGCCCACCTTTCCTGGCTGTCTACAGGGTGCTGGGTCCTTGCACCTCTCAGCTCATTCAGTCCTCACATCTCCAGAGAGAAACTGATCCCCATTCATGATCCCCATTTTACAGATGGGGAAACCGAGTCCAAGAGGCTTTAAAAAACCACCCGGGTCATGTAGCCTTGAGTGGTAAGTGACAGAGCTGGGGTTTCACCCCGGGCAAGCTGGTTCTACCGAGTCCACACTCTGCCCTGCTCTGGCCCCGGTGGACACCAGCTGACGACCCTCAGGGACACAGGCCACCATGCTCTCCCCCAGGGTTCTGGTTTCCCTGGTGTTTCTGTGCAGGCTCAGCCATTTCTTCAGCTTCCAGCAGGCACCTCTTCCCAAGCAAACAGATGGGGAGCAGGACCAAGTGTGTCTGCCCAACCGCGACGTCCCAAAGCGAGGGACTTTCCAAGGCTCCCACCCCGCTTTCTGGCTCTGATTTTCCTGGGAATGCCGCCGACGTCTTCAAGGGTGCAGGAAGGTGACTGATCCAGGAGACGCAGAGGAAATGAAAGCACAGGCACCTGCGAGGATTGTCTAACATCCACACGGTCCCCTTTCTTTATTTAGACACTTTCAGATTCCATCCTCGTCACCCTTACATCTCTGCTCCCGAGTGGGTCTAAGTGCTGCCTCCCTTCCCCCACCTCCCCGGCCCACCCCCTGCCACCTGCTTCTTTAGTCATTTCAGGAGACTCACTTTTTCCTGGGCACGTGACCTCTGCCTGATTCCCTGCCTCCACGTGGGTGACCGTTGCTGCAGGCCTGGGCCCCTTCCGGACCCTAGGCCCCATCAGAGCCCAGCTTCCTTCCTCTTCGTTAGCCCTGGTTCCGTGCCTGCTTGTGACACCCACTGCTCCCAGGGGCTCCCTGTCCCCTCTGGACTGCAGGCACTCCCCAGAGGTACAGCCAGGGGCTTGCCAACCTCCTCATGCTGCCCCCGCCCCCCACTCTGCACTGCACGCTTCTCCACCCAGGACCCCACCTGAAACTCAGCAGCCCTACCCCCCTGCCCCCACACCAAAGGTGGCTGTAGCTGACTTCTCCGCTTCCTCCCACACTCTACCACCCAGACACTAAAGGCCAGCCTCCTCTGGGGTGTATAGTACCCTGCTGTGCCTCCTTTCACCCACTGGGTATGGTTCCAGGTTTTTTCCCTGTGTCCTCATTGGGAGTGGCTTCAGGGTTCCCCTTTGTGATCATCAGACTTCCGGTTCTCATAGATCCCCCAGGACCTCTGTTGTCCCTTTACTTCACTACCCACCCCGTGTCCAAAGCTACACCCTGCACCTTTCCCCACCCAGAACGATGCCACCCGTACAACTTGGATTTCAGCTCCTGGTCCTGTGAGCAGCTTCCAGTCCCTCCAGCCTTTTCTCCCTCACTCCCCGCTCAATGCCGTCACTGCCAGCGCCCACCCCATCAGGCCCTCCCTGGTCACACATCCCAACCCCACTCAGCCTGGACTCCAGGTCAGTCATGTGAGCTAACTTTTCAGTAGCCTCTTTAAGGGGCCCTCCCACCCCACAGACTCACCCTCAAATCCCCCAGGGCATTGGGGCAATTCCATATGCAAGTGAGTCAGAGAACTGGAGGGAAACCCAACTGTGAAACCCCAGCAACGCAATCCCAAGGTTACTGGCTCCCTCTGCGGCTCTTCCACACATTGGCCCTCCTCTCAAGTCCCCATCAAACCTCCACTCCTCTCCTTCTCCCCAGGCAAGACGGCATCCATCCATCCGTCCGTCCCCATCCATCCGTCCGTCCGCTCAGCTCAGCCTCGCAGCTGGTGGCCTTGACTCCCGCCTCCCCCTCCACTCGTCTTCATTCACTCCTGTCAGAAGTAGGTGTCCTTCTCCTGGTCAAGGCCACCACCTCCGGCTGTGTGTGCTCTTGAGTCTGATTCCTACTATCTCCTCCTTGGCCTTGCTCCATCCCCCCGCCTCTCCCTCTGGGATATGGGCTTTGCCAAGAATAGGCTGGTGAGACTGGTGGGATGGGTTGAATTGTGTCCCCCAAAGCTATGTCCTGACACTCAGTACTTCAGAGTGTGACCTTATTTGGAAATAGGGTCTCCACCGAAAAAAAAACAAGTTAAAATGAGGTTGGGGACCCTGGCCGGGTAGCTCAGTTGGTTAATGCATCGTCCCAACATGCCAGAGCCCCCCTCAGAGCCACTCATCCAATGAAGGCATAACTAAGTGGAACAACAAAGCTCTCTCTCTCGCTCGCTCTCTCAAAAAATAAAATGAGGTTAGGTGGGCCCTAATCCAATATAAGTATCCGTATAAAACGGGAAAATGTGGACAGAGGGGCGATGGCCTGAAGACACACAGGGAGCAGATGAGCAGATGGTCCTGCGCGTTCCTAGCCAAGGCTGAGGAGCGTTAGCAGACCCCAGGAGCTGACGAGTTGGCCTAGAGTGTCCCAGAGGATCCTCGCCACAGCTGTCAGAGAGCGGGCCCTGCCCACTCCCGGATTCAGGACTTGCAGCGTCCAGAACCGAGACAGTGCCTTTCTGTTGCCTTAAGTTGGGGGGCTTCGTCACAGCAGCCCCAGGAAACTCTGCAGCTGGGGACACGGACCCTGAGAGGGGCTCCGACACCTCTTCCTGGGAATACGGAGTCCTTCCTGGCAGTCACCGGTTTAAAACTGTCGCTCAGAAGTGACTCCAGAGGTCTGTGATGTGTGCCAATTTGTAAAGCCGAGGTACCCCGAGGGTGTATCCTAAATACATTCGCATCCCAGCTCCCGGCTCTGAGCCGGCCCCCCGCAGGCTTCCAGCGCTGTGGACTGAGCCGGGCGGCTGGTCACCAGGGTAGGGAAGTCCAGGGAGGGCCGGGATTTCCAGGAGTGTCCCCGAGCCTGGCACGGCTTTTGTGCCCGTGCACACAGGCCAGCCCCTGGGACACACTGGCTCTCACGCATGGTCAGGACAACCTGGGGAGCTTCGAGATGCTCGGTGGAACCTGCTGACAGTTTCCCAAGGGTGACTCAGCGCCGCACCGAGAAGCAGGCTGGGAACGAAGAGCCTGTGCTTTCCTGTCTTTCCAGGAAGCCCTTGGAACAGAGTCCCAAGTGCTCCCTCCAGCCAGCCCGGATCCTGCTTCCCGCTGCTCGAGGACCAGTGCCATCAGATAACATCCAAGTGGCTGTGAGCACCACGCTCCCCTTCGGAGCCTGGAGCCTGCAGTGCCCTCTCCTCCGCTGCCCAGGCCTTTCAAGTGGTCTGAATAGTGCATTCCACTTTCATCTGCCTCCTCTGTCCTGGGAATAATCTTCATAGTCTGCGGTTCCGCTCCTAGCAGGAGCTCAACAAATGTTTAAGAGGATGAATTTTTAAAGCAATTTGAGTCGTCATGTCAAGGCTGGAGCAAAATGGCACAAAGAAACCTCACTCGGCGGAGGTTTGTCAGCCACCTGTTCCTATCAGGCTCCTGCCAGCACCCCTGCCAGCGACCCTCTCAAACCAGGACCCACAGGTTTGCCGAATACACCCCCTCTCCTCCCAGCTCACTCACAGCCCAGGCTCCCAGACCAGGAGGAGCCGGTGTTCAGGTGGAATTAGAATGATTGTGCTTTCAAGTGAAATGGAAGCCAGAGGTTCCTCGGAGTGTCTGATTGATGCATGGAAGGGTCCTCAGGGGGAGCTAAGTACCCAGAGTGGGCAGGTTAGGAGCCTGGAGGACCCAGGAACACGATGCCCACAGGTCCAAGCCCCAGGCACAGTCCTGGCTCACAGTTCCAGCAGCCTGTTTGAACAAGCCAGCTGAGTGAGACTCTTCATGGGTCTAGCAAAAAAGTACGTTTCTTCCCCAGCCAGCGTGGCTCAGTGGTTGAAACAGGAGGTCACGGTTCGATTCCCGGTCAGGGCACATGCCCGGGTTGCAGGCTTGGTCCCCAGTGGGAGGCATGCAGAAGGCAGCTGATCAATGATTCTCTCTCATCATTGATGTTTCTCTCTCTCTCTCTTTCTCCCCCTTCATCTCTGAAATCAATAAAAATATATTTTTTAAAATACGTTTCTTTAGGCAGCGCAATTGTCCATTGTTTCAGCGGCTCTGTAGGACGTGCTCGCGCCTGGAAAAGCTTTACTGCATTTGCATGGGAGTTTGCATGGGATCAGGGCGCCATCGATTGGTGGAATGAGTAGGTGCTGAGCTAAGGAATGCCACAGATCTGCAAGCATTTACGGAGCCCTTTCCTATGTGCACGAGGTGGGAAGCTAAGGCAAAGGACCCA